CGACGTCCTGGTCGCGTCGTCGCGCCTCAGCTTCTGAGATTACACCGGAAACTCTCTCGGCCCACTCGGCTCGCGCCTTTTTATTAAGACCTGACTGCAAAATTTGTACTACGCTTAGGCCAGCCGTTGCTGCTGAGCTAGTTCGAGAACGGGCGGGAGTTCCACTTGTTTTTTTCCTTTTTTCTCACGCAAAACATCCGGCATACACGTCCAGCGCGTCGTGCGCGTTTTTCCCATAAGTGTTCCTCATTATTGTCGTGTCTAGTGGTATTTCAGACTTTGTGGCAAATGAGAGCTAAGAACGACCCTCCCGCGGGAGGGTGATTATTTACGGTTCCTTCGCGAATCTCCATTGGATCCCGTCGGTCGATTTTTCACTATCGACGCGCGAGCGTCGCGTCGAGCTCGCTCGTTCGGCCGCTTGGAAATTCGAGATGCTGCGATTTTCATCTCAAAATCGTCGAAATTATCGAAGTTGCTTCGAAATTGGCGCATTGTCGATCGCGGCTAATTGAATTATCGCGCGATCGCGAATCCTTGAAACGATATAAATCGATTACAACGTATAATAGCGCGCGCGAAGCAAGCTTTGCCCTCTTCTCTTTCTCTCTCTCTCTCTCTCTTCCTCTCTCATCATTCGAATGTTCATAAGTATGTAAAAATAATAACCTCTTCGTTCAATCGCAGTGATAATCGTGTCATGTCAATCAAAAGGAGCGATCCTGCGCGTTGCGTTGGGATAGTTTAGCTTATGTTAGCAAGCCTCGCGATCTTCAGCCTCGCTGAGCAACCAAAGAGGCACGATCGGATTCGGTCCGAGGAAGGCAAAGCGAAGAAAACGAGAAAAAAGAAGACGGAAACGCGATGAAAAGAAAAACAGAACAGCGAGAGAAGTTGTTGCGAGTCCATACAGCCCTCCTCACTCCGATTAACCCTCAGATGCGACCGTCGCTGTCTTCCGTGTACCCCGCGGCACGAGTCGCATCCAAGGGTTAATAATCCACAGGTCCAGCGACGTTGGTGTCGTCCGCGTCTCGAGCGTGAATTGCGAATCGCGAGAACGCGTCGCTCGTGGTGGACGGTGGCGACGACGACGACGACGGTGGCTCGTCCGGGCGTTGCGTCGCGGCCGACAAGACAGGCGAAAGAGAAACGCAGCGAGACGGCGACGGCGGTGGCGACGATGGTGGTCGCATCGTGGTCGACGCGATGGTCCCGACTCTCGGCGTCGTTTTTCCCTCAACCACGTAAAATCACGCGTGCGCGCCGGCGATCACGTTCCCGGTCGTCGTCGACAGCTGCTCCTCCGCTTCCATCATCTTCAGTTTGCGCACCACCTGCGCGTGCTCCTCCAGCAGCCTAGCGAACTCGCCTCGTCTGGTCTCGGCTTCCACCTGAATCTGCTTGATTCTCTCCCTCGGCCCGCCCGGGCTGTCCAGCGGCGTCTGCGACACGGAGTTCTGTGAGCTGCTCTCGCGCGACAGCCCATCCAGGTCGGAGCCGTCGCTGAGGATCGAGTGCGAGTCCACGTCGTCCACGATGAGGCTGTAAGTGCAGAACAGTAAAATAGCACTGACGCTGACGACTTCCCCGACCTGGGAATGTTTTGTGCAGAGGAGCACTCTCAAAAGGAGAAAAATATTTTGCTGGCAATTTGTTACTATGGAAACAAGAAAAAATTTATTCGGGCAGCAAAATGACTTGTTCGGACAGCAAACAGATTTGTTAAGGGTATTAATTGTTATTTGCTGGATATATAGACAGCGAAATAATTTGGTTATGCCAACTAAATTTTATCGCTGTCGCAACAACGGTTTTGCTACAACAGCAACATTATTTTTTCCGTGCAACAAATCTTCTTGTCCTCATAGTAACTAGTAATTTGCTGTGCCGATGAAATTATTTTTTTTTCCTGCAGAAAAACGTGTAAGGCTTCAGCGGCTTCAGGAAATTAATCAATCACGATTATGTGATGATTAAGTCAATTATTCTCGGATCGTAGAGAGAGTTTGCTGTGCCAATAAAATTATTTTTTTCCGTGCAGAGAAAATATATAAGGCTTCAGCGGCTGCAGGAAATTAATTAATCACAATTATGTAATGATTAAGTCGATTATTCTCGGATCGTAGAGAGAATAATCAAACAGTTTGTCACAATTCGCCTATTGCTTACGTGTTTTTGTATGTGCGATAGACCAACTGACGGTAACAACGTATGATTGTGGCCATAAATTGTCAACTCGACGCAGCCGACGTCTTGTTTGTGAGAGACCCTCAGAAAACAGATTTTCACATTGAACGTAGGATGCGTTTCGAAACACATCGGACAATATGCGCGGACAATCTTTATAGCCGCGATTGTGCACAGTTTCGCTAGAAACTTGAAAGATGTAAGAGACTCAAGAGAGAAATACGCTTGGTGCGAAAGAAAGATAGCGGTGCAGAATGGAAGAAATACGGCGAATCTGCTTTCGGCTCTGCGTTTTAAAACCCGATTTTTCATTTTCTGATTAATCTGTAGATTAAACTTAACCTGATGAGTGTAAAAATGATGTTTTTTTCCATTCATGGTTAATCATTAATCTTTAAAAGTTGCTATCATAAAACTATCCAGGATTGCCACAGATCTAGAAAACCGGGGAAACCTGGAAAAGTCAAGGAAAGATATAAAAGAGCCTGCAATATCGAGCTTTTCTTAGAGTTCTCTTAAATAATTTTATTCTAAGGAGTGTTTATAATTTTTTTAATCTAACATGTATAGTCAAATGCGTTTAAAACTTGCACACTTTACAGATTATTTCTAATGCGTTAGGGTCATGGTACATAGAAAAACTTAAGCAGTGAAACGTAAGCAGTAAGAAAAGTGTTTACAATCGATTGACCAATTACAATCGATTACTCCTTGACCGTGAGGAGAATAGTCGAATGTAATTGATCAATTTTAGCGTTTTTATTCAATCTTCTCCGTCATACGATAATTGCATACTTTTTTTCCAATACTCATTAATTTCTTGTCGATCTGAATTTGCACTCAAGGTTATGTAGTTATTAAACATCTAAGTTTGTGTTGCTCAATAATATAAGCCACTTGTAATAATATAAGCTACTTTTTCTGCGAGATCTCTGCTTCTAAACTTAACTAAGCTTAACTAAACTTAAGATTATATCTTGGATCATGAAAAATCCTCCACCGTCGTCTGGAAAACATGGAAAAGTCAGGGAATTTCAAATTTATTTTCTGTGGCAATCTGCTATCAGTTTAATGATTAACCATGAATGGAAAGATATAATTTTTGCATTATCATCGGTTTAAGTCTAAACCACAAGTTAATCAGAAAACGGAAAACCGGACTTAAATGAATAATCATGACGTCGGTCATTACGCACAAATATGGCGACTTGGCTCCGATGGGTAGCACCGGCGTGGCGTGACAAGGACGAATGACGCCAAATCAGCCGGGGATCACTCGCGAATACGACAAAATCGATAAAGGTCGTTGCATTCGGAGCGAGAGATCGGTCGGGTAGGATGATTTCTACTTCGGTCGCGTGCTTCGTCGGGCTTGTACGGAAACCGTGGCGAGTATCGATCCGCGAGAGCGGCTATCCCGAGTCTCGTTTCGGTATCAGGGGCCTTCGGTATATCTCGTTGCACACGGGCCGTGTACAATCGAATCTAGAATTATCCCTCTCTGGCGCGCGCGAATCTCGCGCGTTCTAGGGCGTTGTTTACGCTCGGATTTACGAGCTTCTTTTCGCCCGGGCTGATATCACCGGCGGAAAAAGACGGAAGCGTTATCGCTGTTAGCGCCGTGAAGCGTAAATAGAAAACGCCACACGGTGCCGTGAGTTTCGCCTTCGACCGCATCGTCGCGATGCGTTGGACTCGAAAACTCGATTTATTTCACGATGCACTTGTCGACGACTTGATTGTCGATGTGAAAGAAATGCTTATGTCAGAGCGGACGTTTCGGCGGCGAGCTTTCGTTTTCAGAGAAAGAGAGAGAGAGAGGAAGAAAATGTCGAAGCATTCGTGAATCATTGAGCAGGTCGAAAGAGCACGTTCTCTCCTTAGAAAGTGTGCGAGACCAGGCACGAGCGTCATGATTTTCGCATTTCTTTTCGATAATCATAATCCATTTTTCTGGCGGCGGGGACCATTCGGCCAGGACGAGCGAATAGCGAAATCAATTTTGCGCGGGTTGAGGATATAGCGCATGGCAGATGGAATATTCGCCTTGTCAGCGCGCATGCCGCGCCTGCCGTAATCACGGATCATTTTCGCGGCACGTTGCTGCGGCGGAACGGGGTCGAAGGAACGACGAAAGGGTAGAGGGCGACGATCGAAGCGGAGATTAAGGACGCTCTCGAGCGTTTGACCGAATATAAGATAAAACTATAATATATAGTGATGCAAAAGTTACTCGTACTAACAATGCGTAGCAGAAATTTCAGTAATTTTTACCGTATCGTTTCGGAGATATTTAATTACAAACTTGTATGCAAGTTGTACAAATATGTAGAAACCATATAATACAACAAATTTATTCTAATTTGACATATTTGTGTAAGGTGTAATTTGTATAAGATGGGAGTATAAAAAACTGTAACATTAAGAATTAATATACAGATATTATGAAAAATTTATTGTGAGAATTATTGATCGTTTCCGTTTGAAAATATAGGAAATTTTATCAATTACGATGGAAATTTGATAAATTTATGATAATATTTGAGATACGCATATATATACACATATTTAAACATTTATACATTTCTTTCCAATAGGGGTGGGAATTTTATAATTTATGATAATATTCGAGATATATGTATGTATGCACATATTTAAACATTTATATTTAAATATTTATATTTCTCTTTTCGTTATCTATGCATATCTATTAGATTAACTGATGCATAAATATAGCATTATTAATAAAATATAAAATAATGTATGTACATATTTACCTCAGCTTTATTTCAAATTAAAGTTTCGGGAGAAAAACGTTTTTTCCCTCATTTTTCTGCGGATTTTTTATTTCTTATCTTCTTTACGGAAAACCGAAAAAAGTAAAGATATGTTTTAACCGAACACATAAATTTTCCTAAATGAATTTTTGTACCTTTAGGACAGAAATCAAAGAAATTGGCGAAAAAATGGGGAAAAACGAAATTTCTTCAAAAACTTTAAAACCACATTTCATACTGACATTTATTATTTAGATAGTGCAATAAATGTATAGGAATGTAATTTTGCTTGATAAAGAATAATTTTTGGGAGAAATTCTCTCACGATGCGTCACTGGAAATACAGCACTTAGTGCGAGCGAAATCTCTATATTCGACAAAGGCGGCAGCGGCGCGAGAATTTGCAGATTTTCCACACATGCGAAACTCTTTTTAAAAACGTTTTCCTTTTTTTTCGAAAAATGTGTCATATCTGTGCACATTTAAAAATTTGTCGACGAAAACGCTTTTGAATCAATCCCGGGATCGTCCGACTCTCCGGCCCGATGCCGAAAATGCTGTTCTAAGGAGAAGGCGAAGGCATTCGTGACGTCCGATGTTTCTATCGACGTTCGCCTCTCTCTCTCTCTCTCTGCGGCATCGCGGCCGCAACGATTGTTGCTTGCGTCAAACGTTACGTCATCTCGGTGAGTCGGCAGCCGCGCGCGTTAACGCGGAAAAGTATTGATTTTTCGGAAATCGCGAGATACACCATGCCGTGCACTCGACCAGGTCTCATTCGCTATTGATAGCAGCGACTGGTAACTCGAATTCGGAAAAATCTTGCCGAATCTCGATCGAATATGGGACATTTCGATTCGTACGTCCACGTTGCTCTTTTGAACGACCAATAGCACTGGATATTATTCAGACGAATAATATCCGACGTTGCGTGAATGGCGCTCGATCGCTCCGGAACACGCGCGAACATCGATCCCGCGATGACGTGAGAGAGCGCGGTCGAATTTATTTTTGCGGTAGGTTCGATAATGGGTTTGCATTTTTTAACGGACAGCATTATTCGATGAAGGACGCGATGATAGGCGCGTCTCGGGGATGCTTGGAACTTGCTCTTCCTCTCTCTCTCGTTCCCTCTCTCTCTCTCTCTCTCTCTTGCGCTCACACGTACCTCCAGCTGTAATCTCCCTGCGAACAGCGTCTTAAACGTGACGTCAAGAGCTCGGCGCGGCTTAGCGAAAATCGCCGGGCATGAATGAGCGCGGTGGTATTCCGCCGGCGAAACGAAACGGATCTCGCATTCGGGTGAAATTTAGTGCGGAACTTTCCAATCTCCGGCCTCTACAGAGAGCACCGTTGAATATATCGATTGCCGGACACGAGGGAGCTGAAAGGCGCCGTTACGAGCGCCGAAGATACGTTCGCGCGTGATATTTCACTTGAAACCGGAAGTGCATCGCGCACGTCGCGCAGCGCAACACGCGCGGAACGTCCGGCGAATTATTTATTCACGCGCAGCGCGCTCGCGAACGATACTTGGTCGCCTTGGTAGGTCGCAAGGGGTTGAGGCCGCACATGTAAGAGAAAGAATGTAACTCCGCCGCGACTAAAGATAGATTTGATGCTTGTTTCCCCCTCCACCCCTCCCCTCTCCCTTTCCTGTCTAGCTCTATCGCGCTCTCCTTGTTGTTTTTTCATTCAGCGTCTGTCTATGACGCTGCGACTACTACTCGCTGCATTACTCATGAAGGACTATCAAATCGAACGACGTCAACCCTCGCGGTGCGCGAGAGATCGATATCACTATAAGCGCAATAAAAATAAAGTGTAACATCGTTGAGAATAAAATTGCTGCCGCGGCCGACGCCAGATGCGAAGTTTCTCTGCTCGACCGTCGCGGTCGTGCATGCGCTAATCTAGCACGCGGTAATCGCCATGATCGCAGCGAGCAAGCCGAAAGCCGCGAGATTCTCTGTAGTTGTTTCATGAGTGCTTTTTCGACGTAAAGTACGAGATCGCTACTCCGGAGACGCGAAGTTTTGTTCAGTACGGGTATTATCGTACCCGTCGCGGAGACGATGCTGGATGTAATTGTACGAAAATTAGATCTAGCGTTAAACGTGACGGAAATATGCCAATTAGTGGGGAGACTTGGTGCGCTATTCGGGCGGGATAATGTCGTTTCCACTGCGAGATTTCGGCCGATACTGTGGAAGGTTTCTTACCAGTAAAACTTCTTACCGGTAAAATTTTTTACTGCACGGAGGGAATACTGTGGTAAAAGTTGTCGCCAAAGATTTTTGAAGATTTTGAAGATTTTTTAAAAACTTGAAGAAGAATCCGGGTTTCTTCCATTTTTCCGCGGTTTTTTTCAGTTTCTTTCCGAGCAAAAATTGAAAAAAGCGATTTCTTGAAAAACTACAGAAATATATCACTAAAGATTACAACACGCATCATAATTTCAGTTATAATTCTGGTATGGTCCAGCATTACAAAATTTTGTGATAATTTTTATTATACAATATCTGCTCCGCATAATAAAATATCTTACTGGTAAAATTTTCTATTGATAAAGAATACGTCTTTTCAATTGTTGTCCGAATCGAAGCGAAATTTGACTCTAATTACATACACATCGCTTCTATTTCGTTAATATGTTGCGAAAATATTTTCCTTTGATTAACATATTGCAATGCCAATATTTTAAAGTGACGATGCTGGTGTTGTCTGAATTTATTCTCGCGAGTATCGCGCGCTGTAACGAGAGAGAATACCGTGTAATATCGAGCCCTTTCGCAATATTCGATAGTCGAAGTGAATAAAAGTAATAGTGATATCCTGTTAAATTTTTAAGCGTGCCTCTATATTTGTGCAGTGGCCCGTGTGGACGCACAATTAAAGTGCCCCGTCGCTTTATTCAGCCACGCCGAATCTGCAAAGGTCATGTGAAAACGCGTATACACCCACGAAAAGCCTCAAAATAACTAAGTGGGACTTCTTTCCGGTATGTCTGCCGGAACATGCGAGAAATTAGGTGGTGTTTCCGAGTGGTGCATTCACGTTTAATTAATCGTCATCAATGAATTTCCAAAGATCGCATGGACAGTGTGTAGAGCCGCGAAAATCTCCGAAATAAAATAGCCAGATGATTTCTCTCTCTCTTTTTCTGTTTTTCTTTTTTCGACTGCACGTTGACGCGCGAAACAGTAGATGAGAATAATATTGTTTATTTAACAAAGTTGCGCTATGCCACCGATAAAAAGAAGAAAGGAAAGTGACGGTGATAAAATGTTTTTTTTTTTTCCCCAGGAAACACGAGGTTTCACTTCAGAGGTCGAATCTTCGGCGCTTCAACATTTGTATAAAGTCCAGCTCACCTGAAAGCACCATGGATCTCTCTGCCCGATGCCATCGTCACTGCGATATCAGGTAACGATCCTGCAACGAACGGAAACATGTTAGTCATGGTATAATTATTCGCGCAAGAAAGAGAAAAAAAATCGTCGCGTATTTTGCTGAACGTCGAAGCCTTCCCGTCATTATTCGCTCGTTCAATTTGTTACCTTAAGCGAATTGACCTCCCTTTACTCGTGCAAATCGCTTTAATGCAAACGAGGACGGCGCTCTTCATCTTGCGCGTTTCCTCGCGCGAAATGAAGCTACTCTTTGCCATGTGAAACAATACGATCATTATTCTCGAACGCGAGTGGAATCCACAATTGGGGGGGGGAGGCTTTTAATTGCAAACGTGACAGGGACGCAAACTTGAAATTGTACGACAATACAAAAAACGTAGGAAAGCAGACGAATAACGATAGTTTGTTGAAGAGATTTTCTGGCGGAAGAGAGAATGCTTAAAAATTAAATCAAATAAATAATAATAATCGTTATTAAGGGAAACCTTTTAGTATACACGACAAATTAAAATCGCAGATGGACAGGCAGAAAAGAAAATAGAAATAAAAAAAGAGAATAGAAATGAAAAAAGAGAATAGAAATAAAAAAATATTTAATATTTTTCTTTCTCTCTTTTGTATTTGAGGGGATTTATTCCAAAGCGCTGAATAAATAACTCTCTCTCTCTCTCTTATTTTTGAGCGAGTAATTTATAACTAGCTCTATTTTCCTCGGGTCTTCCAACGCTTTGACACAAAATGTCGATTAGTGCTCGACGATTAAGACGCAAAGTGCACCTATGTTTCATCTCCGAAATTACGACGACAGTACACGCGCGCGTACGCATTTGCCGGCCCCGAGGTATCATTACACATTTCCAGCCGTGGGGACGATACGTCGGTGCTTAAGGTTTAACGATGCGCGAAACTCGCTCGTCAGAGACAACGTCGTCGTGACTTGGGCTCGGACAACGAAGCCTTTTCCTTGGGAGACATTGCCACGCTGTACTCGAACGGCTATGTCACGCGTCTCTGAGAAGACTATCATCCACGAAATGTATCCCATTTATCTCGAGACAATGAGTGCGTGTCCGCGAAGCGTACCGTCTCGAGCTCGAAACCCCCCAAACGAGAGATGGTCCGATCGAGATGTCAACGGTTCTTTATTTCAAAACACACTCGGCTGATTATTACGGCCGAAAATTATGACTTCTTGTGCAACTGCGACATCGAAGATCATAAAGACGTTAACCTCTCGCGTTGGAGTAATATCTGCCGCACGTTATGCTTTCGTGAGCCAAGTGTGCACGTCGTTAATCACACACCTGACTTAATCTTAACATTTCGTAACAATGAAACTCTATAAATAATTCTGCGGGATTGTGTAAAGTAGGTGTAAATCAAGTTGCGACTCTCGTCTTTTTTGAATGTGGAATTAACCCTCCGACTGCATTATGGGTCAAATAGACTCGGTGAGCTGTATTCGAAGAGCTATAGCGAAGTGTGTCGAAAATTCGAATTTTTTTTTCAGCAACTTAAAACTTGATTTTCTATGAATGCATAATCAAACATTAAAGTAGAAGACTTTATTCTAGAATTTTGTCAGCCTCTTTACTTTTACAGTTTTTCAAACATGAAGTTTAGAAAATCGTACAGGATTGATATAACTCGGTTTGCGGTGCGAGCGATTTTTCAGAAGTATGCGGTCGAAGGATTAAATAGATGCATGTCCGAAGAGTCCGCCGGATAAATGCCAACGCAAGGGGTGAAGAAGGGCGTTTTTCAGACGAGTACTATACAGGAATACCGAGAGCTGACAAGTGATAGCGTGAAATTAGCTGGGCGGATTTGCGACAGGTCGATATCGAGTAAAGTAAGTGGACAACGGGGCCTAGCGATATTTTACAATTGAGATGCCGACTTTTCGGATATCAGAAAGGGTACTGTCCACTAAACGAGCGGTGGATCTATAAATTGTTGATCGTTCCGCTCCGAATGACGGGAGTGACGTCTCGATCGTGATAGATCGATTTCTCCGGCGGCGGGTGTAATGCGACTGACACTGACATATACCGGTCGGTCTTCTTTCATCTTTTATGAGACGCGCACGCCGACGATTTTTCTATGCAAATTGCAGCCCTTGTCTCTATTTAATGAAGATCGATTGGCCGTCGCGCGTAATATCGAGCCATTCGTGATGAGATTTTCTCGAGAGGAGGCTGCTCCCGCGGCTCGGCCGTGTTTTTCGAGAGGCGAAGGCCTCTCCCGTTTTTAACTAAACGCTTCGAATTACGTCTCGTTTCTGAACTTTCGCATGCTTAAAGGGGAAAAGGCACGAATTTGTAAACGAGAGGCAATTATAATGCCACAACTCCGTTCGCCTGGAGCAAATGCCGATAAATTTTAAATTAGAGGAAACTCACAGGTACACACGTACGCAGATACACATCTGCGCTTGTTCGGGAGTTACAAGTATATGCATCGAAGAGTACCGATATCGAGAGAGAGAGAGAGAAAAAGAGAGAATAAGCGCAACGCGAAAGGAATAATTCCGACCTTTTTACTGTCAAGTAGCAATTGCACGCATTAATTGATACGGTGAAAGCGCACTCGTCGAATCACGTAATGGTGAAGAATCGCGACTTGCGATGTGAAAGGTCACGATTATACAGATTGTTTCACGAATTACATTTGCACTGTGATAATTGTATAATTGCGCTTCGCTGTTACAATTAACACAATCTTCGATTTGACTCAATTTTTTCATTAAGTCGATGGAGGAACTGGAAGAAAAAAAGAGTGGAGAAATTCCGTGCAAATCTGCGCTTCCGCGTGGATCTGAAAAGAATGTTCCCAATTTGGCGAAATGTTATGTTAACTCAACTTTTTCGCTGAATTCAAGATGGATCCGATTCATGTGGAAGCATAAATTTGTACGAAGCTTCTCCACTATTCTCGTATTCCAATTTCTTAATCATTCGTTCACCACAAATATCTCTGACGGATTAAATCGTAAACTGTGCCTTTGTCGAGTTAAAAATTTCCCTTTTGCAAAATGAATCGTGAATTAATATTTTGTATTAAATCTGTTACGTAAAACCTCGCTTAAGGTTTCGATTCGAAGGCTGAGTCGATTCTACGTTCTTTCGAATCTGCCAGTAAATATATTTGCAAGATTCTCGTCGCGTGACTTATGAGACATCCAGTACGGTCTGCGTGGCATTATGCGAACCATATAATGTGCATACAAATACTATAATTACTATCGATTTCTGTATTACGCGTCATATAGATACATATATCGGCCTCTCGTGAGTTGTCACGAATAATCCTCGTGCGACACGCGCGACTTTTGTTGCGATGTCGAGTTGCCCGGTAATCAAGAATGTAAATCTACGTTACGTACTGTACTCCGGGAATACAAGAGGATACAAGTAGCAGATTATTCATATTTTAAGTAAGATTCGAAGAGTGCAGTCTAGAACATACGCGCAGGTCGCTTGAGAGCGAGCGCGGTAATGAGAAGGAAACAGCATCGATCTATTTCTTCGTGCTGTCGAACTGCGCTTGAACAAGGGTCTAATGTCTAACATGAATCTTTAATTAGGCCTCTTCTTGTTCAATCAAAACCTTGGCCTCTCGAACCTTGGCGTCGCTTACGTCGCTTCATTAATGCAACGGTTAATTACGACGCGTCGTCACGTGCGTCGAGCTTTCGTCGCTCACGATAAGCGCTGATCGGTGCGAGTGCCTACTAGTCGCTTTCGAAATATCGATTTTTACCCTTGTCTCAACCGGCGCCAACTTGCATCCGCACTAGTGTGCGAAAAGCTCAATATCGAATACCAAATTTTTTTTCCTGCCAAATACATTTGCGAGTCAAGCAGACGCGTGCGAAACGCCGGTTACACTATCCACGCAATCGTCGAAGCTCTTAGGACCAGTTGCAACGTTTCTGTCCGAAATTCTTAATGGGTGTTAAATATACGTTGTTGCGAGCGGCAGCGCGAAGCACGGATGCAATTCGGCGCGGTCGGGGCCGTTGAAAATTCGAGCGGAATTTAAATTTAAGCACACTCGCGTTCCGGCAAGCGACAGCCGGCCGATTTCGCGACGCCAATGTAAATTAACGTCGTTCACACCGTTCTCTCTCGCGGGTGGAGCGACAGGCTCATTTCGCCACTGACACGCTCGTCTGAAACGCGGAAAGTGTAATTTGCATTTATAGGTGAGCAGGTGTTGTATCTAGGAAGAGAGTAGGACGGAAAAAAAACGGGCGGGGTGGAGGAGAGGGGCGGAGAAAGAGAGAGAAATCAATTTATTATTATCTTGGGGACAAAGCTCGGCTTCTTACCGAGAAAGGGAGCTCCGGTGTGAAAAGAGATGGAGAGAATTGTCGATACGGTGAAGTGACAGGTTGATCGATATAGTAGGGAAAGGATAATTTAAGAGACGTTCGATCCGACTCAATCTTTTCACCTTTTCCTTTCTATATGTGCCTGTATCACGCTTACGCATATTCAAACAAGGTTGATGCAGACAGGAAAGAACACTCGTACACTTGTAACTCGTAATTCGAATGGGTTTCCGCTTACAGTCAAATATATTTTCGTACCGGATGCGTCGTTTCAGTTTCTATCGCAAAGAGTATTGCGTCAGTTCGATACTTTTATTCGTGTTATCGCATGCACAAGTTGATATTATCGATGGAATTGCCGTCCGTATAAAGATATTCAAGATAGGAAAGTAATTCGTACGAATTATTTATTTATTTATTTATTTAACGGTGAAAACGCCTTTTACTGTACAATAAATACAATAGGTTATGACGTGTTGCAAGTGCATACCCATTCTTACACGGAGGCCTAAAGAAAAGACGGAAAAAGAAAAGGAAAATAATTATAGAGGGGAAATTCTCTGTAAAGTGAACGACTGAATTCTTCGTTGATTATATATCGAGTGACTTCAACACGTGTTATGTTGTAGTGATATTCGTCTGTCACAAATATTTGCCAAGACGCTCGGGGATGATATCGCCCTGAGCAGAGCACCCAAGCGCGACTGTTTAAACGCGCAAAGTCACCCGATTCGGCACGATCGAATAATGACCGATCTTCTTCTCGTAAGAACATTTTTATCTCGTACGTTGAGTCTCGATCGATCGGATATTCTGGGAAACAGCGAATGGAAATACACTGGTCGGCGGAAAATTTCCGATTCACCCGTCCGACTTAAGTTGGGAATCAATTATTCATTGCGCTCAATTGAGCAAATTTGGCTCCGACTCCACGGCCGCCTTACGTCAAACGACTAATAAGTCAGTCTGAGAGAGTGATTACGGTGGAACTTAAATTTGAATGGGATCGATCGTCGTGTAGCCGGGTTCTAAATTTCATTTGAGATACGCCCGAAATAGGGGATACCATTTTTCAGACCATTAATCGAATAGCAACAATTACGTTCTCGCCTCGTTGCGGACCATTTCAACCCCTTCGAGCCTCAATGAGCCGTGAGATATCGCTGGTGATCTGAAATTTGTACTGGCAGAAAAAGTCACGCGAGAAGGACGCACGCTGGGAAAATATAATTCACGGTCTCGCCATTATTGGAAGCGACAATTGTCTCTCAATCGTCTCGGTTCCATACTCGGAGCCTCAGCTCCGAGTCATCCAGAGTAACGCGACGAGTCCAACTACCTGTCGACTAGACTCCACGAACACGGATACGTTTCGCAAACGAGAGTATTCTTCCGCGAGACGACCAATTTCTCGCTGAAACCGATCCACGCGTGATAAATTAGCGCGCCGTCGCGCTGATCAGAATGATCGTCGCGCCGATTCAGTTTCGCGGGAGGACCGGTCTCATTTCGCCTCGCAATCGATCCCCCCCCTCGTTGAAATATTAAAGGACGTTGCATCGGACGTAAAAATATCCCGCCATGGGAATGTCGATGACGCCGAATAACTCGTTCAGAGCACCTCGCGCGTTTGCGTTATTCCACGGGCGATCTGGAAATTGCACGACTCTGTCTCATTACTCGGACTCGCAGTGCAGGTTTCGCGCCGCTCCGGAAGCATCTCCTCGCGAACGCAATTGAGCCACCGACTGCGATTCCGGTTCGAATTCGATCGGCACGATAGGCCGCAATCACGGACGCAGACGGACGTTAACCCGCGGTCCGCATCGCGGAACGATCTCGCCCGCCGTCATCGTCACGCCGAGCTGACTCTATTAAGGGCGCACGGGTGGGTAAGGGTAACTAAGGGAGTTTCTCCGATCGATCGGTCGCTCGCTCGCTCGCAAAAGTGTCCTCATACTTGGCGCGAAGGGACACATACGCGACGACACGTAGGACGGTGTTCTCGCTTACCTCTCACCATCTGTGCTCCGAAGCTCCCGGGATCCCGATCGTCGCCCGAAAAGTGTTGTTCCTCTACGATCGCCGCCGTTTTTCTCCCTCTCGATACGACGACAGGTCCGTATAACAGCTCGTGCCCTCCCCCCCGACGTGCGATTCGCGTGCGAAAATGTTCTCCTCTTCCTCTCTCTCGCTCGCTCTCCTGCTCTCCGGTTCTCCGCACCCCCCTCGGTCTCGTCAACTATCTTTCTAACCAGCACCCGAGAGGGACGAGAGACAGGCGAGCACGATCCTCACTTCTCGAGCGTTCCGCGCAAACTGATCGGCGCGAGCTCCGACGTCGACCATAGCAACCTCGCTGCGCGGCCGTATGGAAGGGGTTGCAGCCGGCGAATTTCATCGGGTTCGCTCGCCTGCACGTGAAATGTCGGACTATGCATCGGCGGCGAGCCTTCGGCTAATTAATTAACGCACGGTGAACATTTCGTTGATTTGCCGAATGCCGTCCAACGGATATCGGTTAGTCGCGTGGATAACAGCCAGGAAATCCGGCGAAAAATCGAAAAACAAACGGGACTTTTCGATCCTTTCGATCTTCGTCTTCATCTGAGAGTGAGGGGTTGAGGGTGGTGGCGATCGACTTTCACGGCGTCTCGACGTCGATCTGCTGATCGAAGAAGCACGGAGAAGCGCGTCGTCGTCAGGACGTTTACGCTGGTAACGAACGCCCTCGGCAGATGCGCACGCGAGTGATGTCGAAATCTCGTCGACGAGCTTCCGGGACTCGTTTCCGCTGGTTTTTCAAACATCCTTAAGCTTCCTACGTCTTACGGTTGAGTTGCACCGGCCATATGTGGCGCACGTGTTTCTCGCGTGCGGACCACATATCGTCGTGCCAAAATACCGCTCGCCGCACGTGTCGCGGAGCTCCTTTTCCGATTAAGATCGGCCGCGATGTAATATTCATCGCGGGACGATTTCTTCGTCGGAGATATCAGACACGACTTGAGCACGGGAAAAAAGAATCAGCCGCCACGGCTAAAAGCTAATTCCCACTAGGGCTAGTGTTTTCTTTCGAAGGCTTTAACATTCGAATTTCGAATCTCCGGAGAGTCGAAGCTTCGGTGCTCGTTTGTATTCGAATTATTTGAAAATATTGAAGCCTCGGAACGTCGAAATTACAAAATTTTTTAACTATATAATGTCTGGTACATTCATTCACTTACAAAAGTTCATTTACAATATTTCTCAGTATTCCTTGAATACAAAGCATATATAGACGTTAAGCAAATATAGACGTTAGTTCTATCTTTAGCATTCGCAAGATTGTGCTCTTCGAAGTTTCAAAACTTCGAAGATTACGGCCTTTGGGGAAATGAATCTTCGAAGCTTCGCCTTACCAAAATTCGAATGTTCGAATTTTCTCCGAAGCCTCGAAAAAAACCTTCAAAATTATCGAAGATTAACAATTCTAGTTTCCACAGCTGAAAACTAATTCTCATAGATAAAAATTAGCCGTCCATATAATACGACTAAAATTTAGTTAGCTAATTTTTTCACCCCTGTACCTAATCGTTAACTCTCGGAGCTAAAAACTAGATCTCGTAACTTTCTCTTTCAGTTATATTATTATTATATGGACAGCTAATTCCTCTCTTCCTCGACCGGACTTCGCATTGGCGCGATTCCGCATCGAACGGCCGAATTGCTAAATTTTCGCGCCGAATCACTTAGGGTCATCCGGAGCAGATAGTTCGGATTACGCTGGATCTAGCCTGGACGTGCGCACCTGATTTCGTCGGTTTCCTATGCTCCGACTCGAATTCTAATCGAGCGGAGCGTCGAAGGTGACACGGGCGCGCTACGCAACGGCCTCGCGCGTGATAAACCCTGACACACTTGGTTTGAATATCGAGCTCCAATTTCCGATACACGATTCCGCACGTCCGCCAATGAGATAGAATATTGTATGCGCCGTCATCGAGCAGCGCCTAGCGCTTCTTCGACCCTTACGAGCTCTTTCTTGAGAGCGTACACGCGCGCACGTGTCGTTAATTTGTTAATACCGACGAAACCGGACCCCTATTAAGCTGGATCCCCACCGTCGCAAATTGAGTTCGCACTAAACAAAAAATTTAGGGCTAATTAGTTGCCCTAATCACGATTTTGTTGCTCCAGCCATTTAGCAGGAAATAGCGTTTAAAATGGGGCCGGGTAGACATTGAGCTGGACCCCTCCCCCCCATAACGAAAAAATTATTTAGGATGGTTACACGAAAAAAAAACAATTATATGGGAATTTGTTGCTATTTTGTTGCTCTAAGATAGCCGGAAAAAAATTCGGAAATATAAGGTTTTACCGGAAATATCATCACGTATCCAAACGTCATACTAGGTATTTCGAAAAAAATATTATATTTACCCACTTTCTTTTGGTTATCTTAGAGCAACAAAATAGCAACAAATTCTCATACAATTGGTTTTTCCGCACGACCATCCTATATATTTTTTTTTCAATGGGGTGTCCGGCTTAATATCTACCTGGCCCCACCCATTTTAAACGCTATTTCCTTCTAAATGACTGGAGCAACAAAATCGCAATTAGAGCAACTAATTAGCACATAAATAGCACTAAATTTTTGGTTTAGTGCGAACTCGATTTGCGATTGTGGAGGATCCAGCTTAATAGGGGTCGAAACCGAGCACCTTGCTTTACGGAAAATCGATAGTCGTCGATAAACTGACGCCTTTTTTTCTCACCTCCCCCCTTTCCCCATCGCATATTTCTCTATCTCTCTTTCTCTCTCTTGCTCTCGATCAAATATGCCATACAGTTCCGTCGCTTTTATTATTCTCTCAGAGCGGCGATCGTGGAAGGAAATTGAATTTTCTCGCCGACGAGGGTCGCTCCTCGCGTGGGGAAAGGCGAGAAGCGAGAAAAGTTTTCGTCGAAAATCTTGGAGGGAAAAGACTGAGGCAAGAGAGAGAGAGAGGGATAGTGACTGACGCTGATACAGCGACGATCTCTCGACTCGGGTCTCGCGGGACATTGTTCGTCACACACGAACAACAAATGACTCACCCGCTGACTACCGCCGCGTTTTCTGAAATCGCGCGGGTTACACGGAAGGAGAGAAACCGTTCGTCGAGAAACGAACGTCAGTATCGTCTAAATGTGAGACGCGATATGAGGAAAATTGTTTTACACGGTTAGCGCGACTCGACGAGAAGGAGCTAATCATGGGATTACTTCATAAATATTGGACGCGCGAGCAACTTCCAGGTATCCGGCTATTTAGGAAAGTCAATCAGAAAACGAATTTCCCGGACGTGACGGTTACACGGACCGCTTTCGCAAGCAATCTCTGTAACATCGGATTACGTCGGGCGAATACGCGAACTCGATTACGAAATCGATTACCTATTTGCACGGCTTGATTAACTACCGCCATGTGTAAAGCAACGAACTCGATTATGCGCGCGCCAAATCGAATTTGCACTGCCACGTGCACGCGAATCGCGTGATCGCACGGTATAACTCCAGGAGCGAGATCTTGGGAGCGTGAAATCGTCAGGATCGTCCCCGGTGCTCGGCTCAGCCTGTACGAGCGAGCGCAATTCGTCGACGCGATTTCATTTTGTTACGCGCCCGCGGAATAATCAAAGTTCCTGGTACTGTTGCAGATCGAACGGAAAGTCCAATTGCAATTAAAATCAAGTTGCAGGTAGAAGTCGTGCGCACTGACTCCCTTTTCATTCTCCTTCTCTTTCTTCAACACATTACTTAAAAACTTGCGTCGAATAATTGGATATTAGAGAAATGTCAACTTTCGAGAGGCGTCTTTATACTACTTTTTAAACGTTTATCTCTGTTATCACAAGAGCGAAAGAGAGAGAGAAACTTTTTTTTCCTTTTTCTTTCTCTTCATTCTGAACGTTTTGTGCATTTTTAACGAAGCTCGATGAAGCTTTCCTCGACTTTTTTCTTTGTTAAGAGAAAGCTGGGAAAACGAAGAGCGATCCTTCAAGATCACCTTCTTAATCGCAACAGCGTCGCGTAATTCCTTGAAACGTAGATCACCCTCCGCCCACTTTCTTCTCCTTCTTCTCCGCCTCTTGAATGGACTATAATGGAATTTTCAGGGTCACAGCTGTGCGAGGCGATACGCGGCCTGGAATCCACTAAATTATTTCGGTTGCTCGCTAATTTCATCACGTCGCGAAGGATGTGCCGAGACGCATCGCAGCATAGGTGGTTCGCCATCGGTCGACTCGCCGACTGAAATTCCGCTGGTTAATGCTGCGTCGGGTCGATCTACGTCAACCTCCTTCTCAGGATTGATTATGTCCGTTAATCTGTCGCGTGGCGCACTGTTCGCTCATTTCATCCGTAAATACGGTTTGTCTATCCTTCTGGTCGTTCTAGATCAATTCAGACACAATATTTTCGAAATTTCTTTGAGCGGTATTCTGCTCGAAAAGTCGAGTTATAACCGAGTCACTCGAATTTGCCACGGTTTCTCGCCCATATAAAGCGAATTCTTCACTCTGAGTCGAAGCGAATATTTTCATCCAAAATTGAAGAATGAATCTGATGTACTCCACAGAAACGAATTCACTCTAAGCGATTGAAATATCCACTCGTATGGATTAAGAATCTTTTTCAAGCTTTAGTCAAACACATTTACTCTTGTGATTCCGAATGGCCGAATTTATACTGGATAGCACATACATTTATTTTACTTACAACCAAGAAAGGACTCGGTCCTTTCAATTTACAATTTTTATCTTAACCACACGCATCTATTCATGCCTTAAAACTACTTGACTATTAAATTCCAATACATAAATATCGCCGCACGAACAATACTTGTTTCATTATTTTCATCTCAACTCTCACAGCCTTTTATACCTAATTGCTAAATCTTAATTACTTTTATTTATTCGATTTCCATCACCATATATTATTTCGAGTGAATTTCGCCTGCTCTTTACTGATATTCCATTCCAGGAAATTTAGAGAGGATAACATCAGCAAAAGCAATTAATCCGAGAGAAAAGTGATTAACGCTGGATTCGTCCTACGATCAATTAATGTTAGTTGGAGCGAATAACGAGCGATCCGTTCAGCGATTCTGGGCTCTACCGTTCCCTTTCCCGTGGCATCTGCCCGTCGATTTGCCCTGCGATTTCAGCCGGTCTGAGTCAACATTCGGCATTCTGGACCAACCAGTCAGGGTCAGCATCTCCCTCGAGGCCGTCTCTCGGCTTGAGAGCCGAGACAAGAGTGCGTCCATCGAGCGTA